AAAAAAAAAAAAAAAAAAAAAAACAATCATCCAAAAAATCTGAAAAAACGATATGTTATGGAGAAAAATAAATTAAACAAGATTTGCCTCAGCATATCATCCGAATTCCTTACCAAATTTGAAATACTAATAATACAAATAAATAAAAATAAAAAGAGAATTAAATTTAGTGAGTGCGCGAGCATGTTTTCGACACCGCCATCTTTGGCGATTTTTCATTTTTTTTTTCGCATAGCTAAATGCGTTGAAAATTTAAAGATGTGTACTTCACATAATACAAAACCCACTAAAAAAGTTTCAAAAAATAATAAAATTGTTTAGACCCCGAACTAAAGTGAAAACAAAAAGTAAAAAGGGAAAAAATACGTGGGCGAGCACATTTTGACACCACCTCCTTACAGGCATGTGCCTCACGTCATAGAGAACTCACAAAAAACAATTAAGAAAAAAATAATTATCTTTAGGTCCCAAAATAATTTTTGGCGGGGGCCGAATGCCGTCGGGTTCGGACCCCGTACGGGACCCCAAACGCCCGTATGTATGGAGGTCTCCTCGGGGACCTCCGTACGTACGGGCTGGTGACCCTGCATATATATATATATGTTTGTTGTCCTCTTCTCCCTCTCTGCCTACGATTTACCGGGCAGTTCTATTTGACGATATATATATATATATATCGTCACAAACAGAACTGCCCGGTAAACGTATATATATATATATATATGTTTATTGACCTCTTTTCCCTCTCTGCCTACGGTTTACCGGGCAGTTCTATTTGACGAAATATATATATATATATCGTCACAAACTGAACTGCCGGGTAAAACCGTATATATATATATATATATATATATATATATATACAGGGTCACGAGCCCGTATATACGGAGGTCCCCGGGCAGACCCTCGTACGTACGCGTGTTCGGGGTCTCGTACAATGTCCAAACCCGAAGGCATTTGGTCCCCACCAAAAATTATTTCGGGGCTTAAAAATATATATATATTTTTTTATATTTTTCTATGAGTTGTTTATGACGTAAGGTACATGCCTATAAATTTTCAAGTCATTTGGCTACGCCAAATAAAAATTAAAAAGCGTCAAAGATGGCGGTGTCAAAACGTGCTCGCCCACGTTTTTTTTCACTTTTTACTTTTTGTTTTTACTTGAGTTCGGGGTCTAAACAATTTTATTATTTTTCTAAACCTTTTTAGTGGACTTTGCATTATGTGAAGCACACATCTGTAAATTTTCAGGGTATTTAGCTATGCCAAAAAAAAAAAAAAAAATCGCCAAAGATGGCGGTCTCGAAAACGTGTTCGTGCACTCATTTAATTTAATTCTTTTTTTATTTTTTATTTTCTTTATTTTTTTTTTATTTTTTTTTTTCAAATCGGTAAGGAATTTGGATGTAATGCTCAGGCAAATCTTGTTTAATTTATTTTTCTGCATAACTTTTTTTTGTTTTTTGTTTTTTTTTCGTGTTCAATTCGAACGGTCGAACGCATTTCCGTTCGGGCGTTCGGGTTCGGGCGTTCTGCCCGTCTTGAATGCCAGTTACCCAATATAAATATATATATGTATATATATATATCGTCACAAACATATATATATATATATATATACACGGAGTTACCTGACCGAACGTTCGGGGTCCTCATCAGGAGGCTGAACCCTCAACAGTCTGCAGAATCCCCTCACTAATTACACTGTAAATGATAATCTACCTTAACCAAAATCAAAGTAGACTATCACTCACCCACACGAGATGGAAAACTCTACAGACTGTTGGTTCACACCCCATCACAAACCAGCAAAACATCTATATATATATATATATATATATATATATTTACAGGGTAACCGGCGTTCGGGACGGGCCGAACGCCCGAACCCGAACGCCCGAACGTATGGGACCCCTTGGGGATGCGTTCGGCCGTTCAGGCCGAACGCGGACCCAAAAAAAAAAAAAAAAAAAAAAACAAAGTTATCAAAAAACTCTAAAAAAAAGATATGTTATGGGGAAAAATACATTAAACAAGATTTGCCTGAGCACTACGTCCGAACTCCTTACCAAATTTGAAATAAAAATAAAATACACAAACAAATACTAGTAATAAAAATAAATAAAAATAAAAAGAGAATTAAATTTAGTGAGTGCGCGAGCATGTTTTCGACACTGCTATCTTTGGCGAATTTTCATTTTGTTTTAACATAGCGAAATGCCTTGAAAATTTACAGATGTGTACTTCACATAATACAAAACCCACTTAAAAAGTTTCAAAAAATAATCAAATTGTTTAGACCCCGAACTAAAGTGAAAACAAAAAGTCAAAAGTGAAAAAAACCGTAGGCAAGCACGTTTTGACACCGCCATCTTTGGCGATTTTTAATTCTTATTTGGCTGAACCAAATGACTTCAAAATTTATAGGCATGTACCTCACGTTATACAGAACTCGTACAAAACAATTCAGGAAAAAAAAAAATTTAAGCCCCGAAAAGATTTTTGGCGGGGGCCAGTGCTGTCGGGTTCGGGCCCCGTACGGGACCCTGAACGCCCGAACGTACGGAGGTCCGCCCGGGGGCCTATTACGTACGGGCTGGTAACCCTGTATATACAAAGTTACCAGCCCGTACGTAATAGGCCCCCGGGCGGACCTCCGTACGTTCGGGCGTTCAGGGTCCCGTACGGGGTCCGAACCCGACAGCGTTCGGCCCCCGCCAAAAATCTTTTCGGGGGTTAGTGAAACTCCGACGAAACAGTTTGTCACAGCCCCTCGTTTGTTGTCCTCTTCTCTCTCTCTGCCTACGGTTTTACCGGGCAGTTCTGTTTGTGACGATATATAGATATATATATAAATACAAGGTAACCGGCGTTCAGGACGGGCCGAACACCCGAACGCATGGGACCCCTTGGGGATGCGTTCGACCGCTCGGGCCGAACGATGA